TTCATTTTTTTCTTTTTTCAAATGTTTTTCTCTTTTTAGGCCACTGATGAAGAACAGGCGGTGACTGGGATGAATGGTCAAAGAGGAAAATGTCCTTCCCCCAAACTGATGCAACAGTGGTTTTAAAGGAGGAGGCTGCCCTGGATAATGTAAAAGATGTCACATGCCTTTGCTGTGCTGATGGGGCTTCTTCATGACTACATCAATTATGCTAAAGAGATCATGAAAATTGGCAGCGATGCCTGATCTGTATTCATGGACTATGAAACAAACTGTAAGTGTATCATTTGTAAAAACAAAATGTTAACTGCTTGTTCTGTGTTGTTGTTTAGTAGAAATGGAGTTTACACGGTCATTCATACACATGCTCACATTCTTTCACACATATGTGATAAATGTTATAATATGAGTGTTAATGTTGTGGTTTATTTACTGTCATGCCAGAATAGTTTGTAAAGAACTTAACTATTAACTAATTGTACAAATATTGTATAATAGTGTTTTTGTATAATATTTTTATACAATATATAAAGTTTACCAAAAAAGTCAAATTTGATCTTAAAAGTTATATTCAACAAATGTTCAATGCTTCATTTATAAACTCTGTAGCTGTTAATGCCATGTGTAAAAATGATTTTAAAATGAACAAGATTTGTAGGTTTAATGTCTAGCTCGATTTGGGTTCATTTTAGCCTAGCAGTGTAGCATGCTGGGTCAAACATATAACCCAACTTGTTGGGTTAAAACAACCCAGCGCTAGGTTTGTCCCTTTTTGACCCAGCGCTGGGTTACCAAAATAACCCAATGGGTTGTTTTTAACCCAGCAGTTTTTAGAGTGTAAGGATGTATAAGTGGATGATAGATGGATGGATGGGTGGCTATATAGATGGATGGATGGATGAATGATGATGGATATATGAATGGATGGATGCAAGGACAGGTGGATATAGGGATGAATGGGTGGATGGATATATGGTTAGATCAAAGATAGATGGATGTTGGATATATTGATGGATGGATGGACGGATATAGGGATGGGTGGGTGGATAGATAGATAATGGATGGATGGATGGATATAGTTGGATTAATGACAATGGATGGGTAGATGGATGGATGGATGGGTGGATGCAAGGACGGGTGGATATAGGGGTGGGTGGATGGGTGGACGGATGGATGGATATATATGGTTAGATCAATGATAGAGGGATGATTAGATATATGGATGGATGGGTGGATATATATGGATAGATAGATAGATAGATAGATAGATAGATAGATAGATGATAATGGATGATGGTTGGATGGATGGATATAGGGATGGATGGATATATATGGTTAGATCAATGATAAAGGGATGATTAGATATATGGATGGATGCACAGATATAGGTATGGATGGGTGGATATATATGGTTGGTTGGTTGGTTGGTTGGTTGGAGGGAGGGAGGGAGGGATGGATGGATGGATGGATGGATGGATGGATGGATAGATAGATAGATAGATAGATAGATAGATAGATAGATCTGACCTTGAGTGTTGGAGATGTGCTGGAAGACATCTGAACAGGACACATTAATGAGTTGTCCAGTATTGGCTGTCCGCCAGCAGCGGATCCCGTCCCAATCCGTCCGACATCCTGAGACAGGAACCACAGAGGAGCCGTCATGACACTGTCAACAATATATGTTCTGCACTGGTTCATATGGATATTATCTAATGGACAGGGGGTTCATTTACAGTTTATCCAAATGTCTTTTGTCATGCTGTGCAGGAAAGCATTAGCATTCCACTGCTCGTCCATGTAAAACATTAATTCCAGCACATATAGGCTCCAGCACACAATGCACCTTTTTGACAACTATCAGTGCTCTTATGATGTCACTAAATATTCAAGAGCTAGTCATGCAACCACTTTTGAAATGTCACTAAGCAATATTAGTCAATATGTACGGTGACGCATTGATGCCACACACATATTTTTTTTTTCCACTCAGTTATGTCGTTTTAACGACATCTTTTCTCGTTAAAACTACATCTTTTCTCGTTAAAACTACATCTTTTCTCGTTAAAACTACATCTTTTCTCGTTAAAACTACATCTTTTCTCGTTAAAACTACATCTTTTCTCGTTAAAACTACATCTTTTCTCGTAATAACGAGATGTTTTCTCGTTAAAACGACATCTTTTCTCGTTAAAATGACTTCTTTTCTCGTTATAACGAAATATTTTCTCGTTAAAACGACATCTTTTCTCGTTAAAACGACATCTTTTCTCGTTAAAATGTTATGTCGTAAAAACGATATAATTATCTCGTTAAAACGACATATTTTCTCGTTAAAACGACATATTTTTTCTCGTAATAACGACATATTTTGTCATAAAAACGACATGTTTTCCGGTTATTATAGATAGGCCATATGGTACATTATGTGAGCGAGCTAAGCGACTGTCCGCGCTGCTGTCGCCACAGTCTGACATAAACGAGGATCTGCACGCTGCTGAAATTATTGAAATACACTGTTTTAAATGTATTTTAATGTAATGGTTTTAATTGTAGCGGCATGTTTATTAGGATTAATCTCCAATCTGTCTACAATATAGTGCTACAATAACTGCACTCAGACCCATGACTCGTTTAGGCTATGATCAGATCAAAACTGGGCTTAATATTTCCTTATTTGAATGACTGAAGTTTGATTTAACAACAAATCGAAATACGAAAAAATGCTAAAGAGATCATGAAAATTGGCAGCGATGCCTGATCTGTATTCATGGACTATGAAACAAACTGTAAGTGTATCATTTGTAAAAACAAAATGTTAACTGCTTGTTCTGTGTTGTTGTTTAGTAGAAATGGAGTTTACACGGTCATTCATACACATGCTCACATTCTTTCACACATATGTGATAAATGTTATAATATGAGTGTTAATGTTGTGGTTTATTTACTGTCATGCCAGAATAGTTTGTAAAGAACTTAACTATTAACTAATTGTACAAATATTGTATAATAGTGTTTTTGTATAATATTTTTATACAATATATAAAGTTTACCAAAAAAGTCAAATTTGATCTTAAAAGTTATATTCAACAAATGTTCAATGCTTCATTTATAAACTCTGTAGCTGTTAATGCCATGTGTAAAAATGATTTTAAAATGAACAAGATTTGTAGGTTTAATGTCTAGCTCGATTTGGGTTCATTTTAGCCTAGCAGTGTAGCATGCTGGGTCAAACATATAACCCAACTTGTTGGGTTAAAACAACCCAGCGCTAGGTTTGTCCCTTTTTGACCCAGCGCTGGGTTACCAAAATAACCCAATGGGTTGTTTTTAACCCAGCAGAGTGTAAGGTGTAAGGATGTATAAGTGGATGATAGATGGATGGATGGGTGGCTATATAGATGGATGGATTGATGATGGATGATGGATATATGAATGGATGGATGCAAGGACAGGTGGATATAGGGATGAATGGGTGGATGGATATATGGTTAGATCAAAGATAGATGGATGTTGGATATATTGATGGATGGATGGACGGATATAGGGATGGGTGGGTGGATAGATAGATAATGGATGGATGGATGGATATAGTTGGATTAATGACAATGGATGGGTAGATGGATGGATGGATGGGTGGATGCAAGGACGGGTGGATATAGGGGTGGGTGGATGGGTGGACGGATGGATGGATATATATGGTTAGATCAATGATAGAGGGATGATTAGATATATGGATGGATGGGTGGATATATATGGATAGATAGATAGATAGATAGATAGATAGATAGATAGATGATAATGGATGATGGTTGGATGGATGGATAGGCGGAAGGACGGGTGGATATAGGGATGGATGGATATATATGGTTAGATCAATGATAAAGGGATGATTAGATATATGGATGGATGCACAGATATAGGTATGGATGGGTGGATATATATGGTTGGTTGGTTGGTTGGTTGGTTGGAGGGAGGGAGGGAGGGATGGATGGATGGATGGATGGATGGATGGATGGATAGA